GAGGTATGTAATAGGTATTGCATGGGGTCTGGCAACTAGAAGTCCACTAAATGTCCAAGTGTCCTCTCTGGCTTTTCTTCCAGTTCCAAGCCCAGGACTACCCTTTAAGCCACATAGTAGATGCTCAATAAACATCTGATGAATGAGTGATAAACTCGGTCTTCTACTTCCTCATCTCTCTCAAAGTGAGAGGATGTTTATTTGCAACTCCAAGCTGCAGGGACCTCTGTAAACAAGGAGTGGCAGCAGCAACTTTCTCCAGTTGGCACAACAATGAAAGGCCACAGGTCCCGGAGCTGGCTCCCTGCAGAACCCAATCCCCAGGACAGAGATCAGGCAGCAGGCTGCCTGCTTCAGGTGAGACCTGTGGTCTCTACAAGGAGGGAGGTTGACCAGCCTTTACCCTAGTTGGCTGGCATTCCTCCCCCGCATAGATATTGGGAGTAGCAGAATGGCCTTTGGATAGGCCCACCCTGTTGCCACCATGGTTCCTTGTATCTGATGAGCGTGCTTTTCTGGGAGCACTATTAAGTCTTTTTACTGGGGACAGTTTGCTGGGAGCTCCTCACGTGCTCCTGGACACTGTGTGATTGGCTTTCTGAATGCTTAGAGGTGAAAGGCACCTTATTATTTATTTGTTTATTTATTTAGAGTAGGAGTCTCACTCTGTTGCCCAGGCTAGAGTGCAAGGACACACTCATGGCCACTGCAGCCTCGACCAGCTGGGCTCAGGCGATCCTTCCACCTCAGCTTTCCAAGTAGTTGCGTGACATCACATCTGGCTAATTTTTATGTATTGTAGAGACAGGTCTTGCCAAGTTGCCCAAGCTGGTCTTGAACCCCCGGACTCTGGCAATCCTCTCGCTTCCGACTCCCAAAGTGCTGGAATTATAGGCGTGAACCACTGCACCCGGCTTGAAAGGCACTTTAGAGAACATCTTGATTAGAGCCCAGAGGTTGCACAGGCAGCACCCTGTGCCCCACCCTCACTTCAACCAGAGCCAATGCCAACCTCACCTGCTTGAACCGGGGTCCTTCAGGTAAAATATGGTTGGGAGAAAGGGTCTGGATCCGATGTTTCAAAATAAAAGCTGAAGACCACTGACCTAATGCACCTCCTCATTAGTCACAAGAGGAACTGAGGCCCAGAGAAGGCATGTGACCTGCCAAGATCATACAATTCTCCAAGGTGCAGAGCAAACACTGTGGACTGGGCCTCCTCGAGTCATTGCGTTAGCTGATGACTGCTCTGAACTTGGGCCTCCAGCAGCCTCTGACGATGATTACAGGCATCTCCTACTCCATTCCGGGAAGCTCCCTGCTGATCCCCAGTATGGAAATCTCCCTCTTTCTGCCAGATTTGTAATCTCCAAGGGCATGGGGTTTAGCCATCAGCACCAGAAGATCCTACTATGGAGAACTAAAGGGTGCACTGAAAAAAACTATCCAATCCGCAGAGAAGCCCCGCCCCCTCGCCCCAGGGCCAGGGAGAAAACGCCAAACAAATCCATCTCTCCTTCACAGGCTGCATGCACTCAGCTATGCAGGGGCTCCTTTTTCTGGCATGGTTGCTCCCTTTCCAGAGCTCTTCTAGGTACCCTCCCCACCAACGACAGTTTTCTTTCTCCTCCACTTGTGTCTTCTTGGAGTCCCTCAAGCCTGGCATCCACCTGTGCGTTCCTCTTGGGCTTGTGGTAAGGCCTAAAGTTCATTATCAAGAGAAATTCCAGCAAAAGTGGATTGTGTATACGAAAAAGTTAAATTAGAGCAAACAAAATGTATGATAGAATCATCTAAAATAAATTAGTACATACTTATGCTAACCATACGAAAACGTTTTGCAACCACACCAAAATGCTTGAAACACTTTCACTGTAATCGGTCTGACCTTCAAAGGCCTTCAGAACATGGTTCCTGCCTTCTCTTCTGCTTTGCTCCCCATACACCTTCAACTCAACACAAACGGGCCTGCACTGCCTCTGGAACATACCACCTGGATCCTGCCCCTGCTCCCTCGTCTATCTAAACTACTAAGCTGCACTCTACTCTTCTGACAACAGAATCCTGATCTTGCTTGGTGGCACAGTTCACTTCTCTTTCCATTTTGTTTTTCCCAAGCACTTTGTCAATAGCCTGCTGTCTTATGTCCTCAGTCAGTAATTCATCAGAGGCAATTATGTCTAGTTAGCTTTTGGTTAATTACTATCACTCCTCTTCACATGTGTGCATATGTATATCATCTTTCCTTAGACTGGAAATGATTCATTCCCCAGAACAGTGGTTTCCGTAAATGACCAATCTCCAGACCAGTAAGAACTGGCGGCAAAAGAATCTCCTCTGAGACACTTATTAAAATGCAGAATCTTAGACTGCATGGGGGAAGATGATCTCATAAATCTCAGTGTAAATAGGCACAGATCATAGGTGTGATATGGGTGGGTCTCTGGATTCACCATATTCAACAAACTGCTAGTTGATTCTGAAGATATTGATGGATTGCCAGGTTGGAAACTTCCGCCCTGAGAACTTAGCACAGAGCTCTGTACATAGTAGGTGCTCACCACGTGTTTAGCTGTGTGCCTCTTGACTGACAAAACTTTATCATAACATTATTGTAATATACCTGCATTGTTTTTCCAAGTAAAAGAAGAATACTCTTTAGAGGCTGTCTCCAACCTTTTTGGCATCAGAGACTGGTTTCGTGGAAGGTAATTTTCTGTGGACAAGGTGGGGGATTATCAGGCATGAGATTCTCATAAGGAGCCTGCAACCCAGATCCCTTGCAGTTCACAAGAGGATTCGAGATCCTATGGGAATCTAATGCCGCCACTGATCTGACAGGAGATGGAGCTCCACTTGCCCCTCAACCTCCACCTTCTGCTATGGGGTCCAGTTCTTAATGGAGGGGGTTGTCAAGACTCCTGCTCCTGAGTATCTAATAGGTGCCAAGCTCTGTGCCTATTTACGTACATGACCTGTTTCTATTAATAACCTTTGGAAATAAAGTGGCATCTTCATTGGGCCTGAGAAATCTGGGAACTTGTTTCAGTTCTCAACTGTTGTAACAGCAGAGCTAGAATCTGACCTCTGACATGATGGGCTCAAAGTCCATTACCTTTCAACTTATCAGAGGGCATGAACTGGTGGCTTGTACCTGGCTTGCAGATAAGTTTTTATTTAATCCATACAATGTTTAAAATGTAAAAAAATTACCAACACGTCTAAATTCGATATTTTGTATTAATATCTGGATTCTGGCTTCTCTTTAGGACAAAAAAAGACCTGGTTAACACTGGGGCCTACATTCCTGCATGGCAACAATCAGAGGCTTCAGATGGAGCTTTCAATGGACATGTTGCTAGAACTCACCACAGTCCCTGTTACTTCCCACTCTCATCCATGGTCAGTCTAGCTCTTACATCCCTTCCCAATCTGGTCCTTATAGGTCTGAGTTTGTGACTGCTGCACTCTTATCTATCTTGCTTCCTACAGGTCAGGAAGTTTGGCAAACCTAAAAGGCCTCTTTTTGTTGCTCTGTCCTGCATAGGTCTCTGATCACAGAGGTATGTGCATTTCTAACTTTGTGTTGTTAACACTAAGAAACCTGCTGGTACATCACCAAGAAAAACTGGGATTCCTGCTCCCCAAGTTACACATTCTGGTTCGTCCCAGTAAAACTGTATATTCAACCTTCAAAAGAGTCATGAAAAAGGGGCAAATCACCTACTTCAATGGTGTCCGTAAGAAAGAAGCCAGAGTGAGCAATGCCACCAAGTGGTGGAGAGGCTCTGTGTGGAATCGCCACCTTCGGCCAGAGAGGCTGGGAGGCGGAAGACCTATCTCATACCATTCTTTTGGGGCCACTCAGAAGCTAAAACAAAACGCCTGCCTATCCCAGAAGCTGGTCCTACCACAGCTGCCTTTTAAAGACAGCCTTTGAAAGACACTATCTCCTAAGATGGGCATGTTAGGAGCTGTGCTTAATGTTTTGATTTTGTGGATCTATTTTGTTTGTTCCTTTCCTTAAACAAGTATATTTCTGTTTTCTGGAGAATGTGAACAGAGAGCTATTCAACTCTTAGTGTCAGTGTAACAAAGATTTTTTTCTTAAAACCTTCTTTGTAAAACAGGATTGAGTATCATGGGGATAGGACTTGGGCACTTACCAAGAAATTGTGTCAGGCATTGATGTATCTCATTTGCTTCTTATACACCTGAGTGTTAGGTATTCTAATTTTTTTTTTTTTTTTTTGAGTTGGAGTCTTACTCTTGTAGCCCAGGCTGCAGTGGAGTGGCATGCTCACGGCCACTGCAGCTTCGACCTGCTGGGCTCAGGTGATCCTTCAGCCTCAGCCTTCCAAGTAGCTGGAACCACATGTGCGACACACAGCTAATTTTTTGATTTACTGTAGAGATGAGGTCTCACCAAATTGCCTAGGCTGGTCTTGAACCCCTGGGCTCAGGCAGTCCTCTCGCCTCCACCTCCCAAAGTGCTGGGATTACAGGTGTAAACCATCACACCTGGCCTAGGTATTCTTATTTTACAGGTAAACAAATGGGCTGAAGTTACAGGATCTCTAGCCATCAATCTTTATCTCTTCTCAACACTGCCAAGGGCCTCCTTGGAGATCTCCCAGACAGATAACCTGGGACTTCCCTGGTTTCTCAGTGCCTCTTAGAAACACAGGGTCATTTCAAAATATTATACAAATGAGACATTTTTCTTCTCTTCACCTAATCTTCTAATCTACACCAAACCAACTGTAAGACCTCCCCTACCAATTTCAGTTCACCACCTGCCCTCTACCCTTCCCCCACCCACAATAATTTTCTAAAAAAGATTGAGCCACTATTAAATCAAATTCACCTGGTCCTGCAGCTATCTTGTTCTACCCTCTACAGTTTCTCTTCCCTGAGAGACAGAGCATCCTCTCTGTAAATCAGACAGGCATTATTCAAGTAGGAGAATAAAAAAAACAGGATCACAGAGAGAAAGGTTGGAGAATTTGACTTTTTGCATTTACTTGTAAGAGGAAAAACAGCACATAAAGGCATCCACAGTATTTAATTTGTTGGGATAATAGTTACAGATAAACAGGTACACTCCATATACAATTACCAATACTTTTTTATACAGTTCATATTTCAGTACATCAACACTATTTTATTTACACTCTATTTATGTACATTAACATCTTTCTAAAGTCAGTGCATCGTCAACAAGTTTTATACAGTAATTTACAAGGTGAATGTAGTTAATAGTTAATTTAATAGATTTTCTGCTAGTTCATGAATTAAAAAATTAATTACAACCAGTATAACAAACACAGATCAAACAACATTAGTAGATTGTGCTACCTGCTTAAATAAAATATCTGTAAAGAAATTATTTAAAATCCTCCACTTTTTAACGGGACATGTCCAGGTAAGGAATGGGCAGATTTTACATACTGAAAATCTTCAAACTATAAAGTATGCATTTTGTCTGGCTTTATTACATTATACAATTTAGGCCACTCCCTCCTATTTGCAATTATATTCTTTTTCTGAAAAGAATTTCAACTTAGGTAGTCATTTGAGACGACCTTTCCAAATGTTCTGAGAAGAACTAGATAGATACTGGCCTCAGCTATCAGGACACAAATGCTTAATTACACTGGTAATGACTACTTAGAAGGGGGAGAGGGTAATGGAATCTGATAATTAATGAGAATCAACTTGCAGGGTCTAGATGAATAAACAAAATCCAAAAATATGGTGAATCATTTCTTTGAATATATATTTAAAAAACAACACAGGAAAAAAATGCTACCTAAAATAAATAACACTTATACGTTTGTTCCAGTCTTGAATAATCCAGAGGAAAAAATAAAGTAAGCAAAGCAGCAACATTTGATGACTACTGTAAAATATTTTTTAAAAAAACAAGTATCAAAATAAAAAAAAATGGACATGCAAATAAAACAAAATAAAAGTTTACTTTCTAAAACCACCAATTTCATTAAAATGTTATGAACTATCAATGTTTTGGATGTGTTTTATTTTAAAATTTAATATGATGGGGAAAATACCCCAATAGCCCTTACAGCCATCAAATACAAACAAGTAAGTTCATTTGCATGTATTATCTCTTTTTTAAAGTGCAAAACAAACAGGAAAAAACAACCACTAGCTGTGAAACCCTATCTAGCTTTGATGCTGCTTACCTTCCCAGAAGCTCTCTGTGCAACATGTGCATGTGGAGATGGTACAAATATTGGCAACTACCACGACACTCTCAGCAGTGGGGGGATATACATTTCTGTGGATACTTGAAGTATCCTAAAAGTAAGATGCCTCCTCAGGAAGGCTGTTTAACTGGATTTCCCAGGATGCTTTTTCTTTCCACTGGGTTTCCCAACCAAAGCCCTGGGTGGAAGGCACATAGCTCTTAAGAGACTCGTTCTTTTGGACTGACCACTATTATGTCTCTGCCACCAATGACTGGTTGTGTCTCAAACACAAACACAAGAACAAAAACAAAAAGCAAGAAAGACATAGAAAGAGCAGGGAAATGGTTTAAAAAATAAATTAAAAAAATCTTCGTTTATGCCTTAACAATCATTTGCACAGCTTCATGATCTTGCTTTCTCCAATCTTGTCAATATAATGGAATAAAACTTCAGGAAAAAGGAGGTAGCATATCATGTCGTCTTCAGACAACACTATCATTTGTTTTTTACTTTGACTCCAAGGAAATCTTTAGTATTTTGTTACGATTATTGGTAAACTCTATACTCACTACATATTTGTTCATATCTGGACAAGCACAATTTAATTCTTATTTGGTCCCAGGTGGCTGGTGCCAAACCTTTTTGTTTACAGGCTAATGGTGGGATCTGCCTGAAATTTCTCTATCGAGAGTTTGTATGAGACACCAAAACAAAATTATTACTACTCTTAAAGTTAACTACTATTTTAATTAGGATTTTTATTTTGTGCTTCAGGGTCACAGGATAAAATAACTACAATTAGTTTGCCTTTCAGTGATGCTTTTGCCAAATGTCAGCTACAAGGAGTCATCTCCCTCACTACTGGACTGTCTAGTGGCCAGAGTGGTAGCTTTACTGTAACACACAGTACTTTTTGTAATCAGACTCAAAGTCTTCGTCCATGCTGCTTGTATCTGCCATCTTTTTGCCATCAATCTTTGGCAGAAATTGTGCATAGTCTATCCCCTGCTGCTCATAGAAAAGAATGTAGGCAGAGTCGGTGTCAATTTCATCAGGATGAAGTTCCTAAAGGGGCAAGAGAAACCTTTAACAAAAAGCTATCACTCTGCTGGCTCTAAGTCTTTGCCCAAGAAAGGAAGACCAACCTTCTCTAAATACTAAATCTAATTGCTTCTAATAAGCTATTTTGGCTGTCTCACATCTGCCCCTAAAATGAGTCCTATTACTTCTGATATTTGTTTTGGGGAAAATATTTTGACTGTAGATTACAGGCTTAGCCCGTAATCCCGTGCCTTTGGGAGGCCGAGGTGAGTGGATTGCCTGAGCCCGCGG